CTGCATCAGATGCAGTGGACCCACTTGAAGTCCTCGCCCTCTTCAAGGGTCCTACGTTGGGGGCTCAAAAAATAGCCTCTTCTAAGCCCCCTTGGCCGTAGCAATAGAGATTACCATCAATTTTTTCCCCACGGGGGTTTTAGAGCGAAGCAGTGGGCTGGTCATGGACCCACCCTCTCTTGTGGTAGATAATTTCTTCTTCTTGGGGACCTCCTCCACCTTATCTTTTTACTTTGTCCTTCATGGGAGGTCACCTGTCTCCCTCATGACCAGAAGCCTCTTTGCTGATCTTCTCCACTTGGTCCCTCACCTATTTCATCGCAACAAATTAGGGCTTCAACCCTTTCTCCCTGGCAAGAGAGGTGGCAGCAAGGATAGTGGCCATATCCAATGTAGGATGCCTCATCTTCTCAAAGGTTTTTGCAAAACGAAGACAAAGGAAAGTTAGAAACTAAGTAAATGAGCTAGGTAAAAATCCCAATTGAAGATTAATTTCCTTTGTCCTTGAGGAATCGCCTGAAGTTGAACAAGAGATCCAACTCCTTGTAGATAGGTAACAAAGGTAAATATCCTCTACTATGCCCTAATCAACTTCGAACAGCTCGAAGGGATCAGCAAACCTTGCACAACATGGAAGAGGGTCAGAACTAAAATTACATCAAATATATCAATCCGATTAAAAATCCATCAAAAGACACAACACTCACAGGCTTCTGAGAATGAAGTTGGAACTGTCACGTGGGGAACAGTATCTCCTTCACACATCTGCCACTTTTCCCTCACTCAGAACCATGTCTCCTATCTTTTGATGGCAAGAAGGAGTCATATGACAAAGGGAGTACCGTCTCTTGGAGTTCCATTTCCCTAAAACCCTAGGTTGGAAGATGGTTTGGAAATGTAAAGGGATATGTCTTCTCCAAGGGAGGTCTCCTTCCACAGAAAATAGGTTCCCACTAATTGGGCCCAAGCATTGGGGACGAACTGAGTGGGAGCCAGTCCGTACAACCTCAAGACTACTTTGGAAAAAGAGATGAAGAGGCAGGCAAAGTCCTGGCTTTAAGAGAAACTTTCGTCTCCCTTTAAGAGGAACTCGTTGGTGGCGACGCAACTCTGCCTAGGAAAGCAGGCTCGCTCACCAGGAGAAGGGACTCGGAGTTTAATGTCGTAAGAGATACAATATTTTTTCTCTCAAGTCAATTAGGTGGGAAGCAATCACAATAGAAGGTATTTTAGCAGCCCCTAACCCATCTTGTCTATCCTACCCCCTTGAAGGTAGTGCGTTTTGCCCAGCCCTAACGGCTTGGATAAGGTTGGATGTATTGTTTATGGTCCCTCCTATCTCAGAGGCCACTGGCTAATATCTAAATTCCCCCACAGAAGGTGAAGTAGCCATCAGATTAGTAAAGAATTAGGAATACTTACAAGTTCAAACACAAATCACCAAAGAAATGTGACTGCAAACTACAAGAAAGTTTAATGGAAGAAGGAACGTGAAGAGTGAGAGAGGATTTGGATTCTGTGATTAGCATAGGCAAAAGTGATTTTTTGCCCAAAGTTATCGCCTGTTATAGGAAGAGACATTCAATCCCCACCGCTAGATGGTGATCCGAACCATCTAATAGTTCATTCAAGTTTCAATGTGAACCGTCCACCATATCTGTCGTTTTCCCTTCTATGGCCCATATTAGAACGCTTGCATAACGCACTTCAACTCTTCTGAACTGCATAAAACACGCTTGTGACAACCATCATTACTCATTAAATGCGATGATGGTTGTGTGTGGAAAACTGAACCGCTTCGGTTGTCATTTCTCAAAAACGTGCAAAAACAACAAATCATTTGGGCGGAATAATTTAGGATGCCTTGTGATGAACCTCCGGCCAAACCTCTGACTACCCGAAGTACTCCCTTTATGCCGAATCACTTGCTGCCTTTAAAGTGGATCTGTGGAGTATATATAGAATTGATTAATGTAATGTTTGTATTAATAAATGTCAGGAATGTCAACTAAAAAAAAAAAAAAAAAGGTTGAACCCCAACCTTAAGGGCTCCCACCATCCCGTCTCTAGAGTTTTGTGAGGAAAGTAAATCGCGGAATGTGTCTCAACAGATCAAGGAACAAGAGCCGTCTGTACACTGCGCGTACAAAAAATCAAATTTCATGTCTTAAGAATCAAACTCCCACATTGCGGTTGCCAGCAAGACGTGAGATAACCTTACTCCTGTCCTTTGCACCACTGTGCTATGCCCCGAAGGCAGGCCCATGATAATATTATTGCCTTCAATACGGTGGAGTTGGAACTTGGGCTACTGTTTTCTTAGCCTTTTCATTTGCTCATTTATTTGTGGAGGTCAACAAAGATGATAGCAGAGATGTCTTTCCCTTACAAACCTACATAATTCAAACAATTATACAATCTTAGTTTAGAACTATGGTGATTGAGTTTCCTCTACTGCTCAAGAACTACGTCAACTCATTGTTGTAGGTCGAGTACCCACAATCTAACTTCATGCAATCTAATCATCGGCAATCCATACAAGATCAGTGTTCAACATCTAGTGGCATGCTGTGCCTTCTCTAGGCAGGAATTTCAGTATCTTAAAGGCTACATGATTCCCAGGCCATGCCGAGGTATCCATGTGACCAATCGAGATCATGGTTTTCGCTGGGAGTCGACAAGTCTACAGCATAGATTCGAGATGAAGGGATTAAGTGGCAGAAATAGCCTGCAAAGAAGATAAACTTCATGGCAAGTAACTATTTTCTGCCTATCAAATTATCAGGAAATCACCTGTTTTTGCGCTTTGTGAAGCCAATACAAGTAACTTGTTTTTGCCTAAGGCTAACTTCGAAAAACTAATCATTTTTTCAAGGTATTTGTGGCAATTCTTGATTTCTCCATTTATAGCTTCTGCATTACAGTAAGAAAGAGTAGATTCGATGAAATTTTTCGACAGTTTAAAGGTCTTAGGATATATTTTTCTGATGTTTTTTCTGCTTACAGAAATCTTTGATGCTATTTATTGAGGGAGAAATGATTGATTCGGAATATTTTGTTCAAAATCTAAGAGATGGAAATTCCTTCTTTAAGGATTGAGAGCCTGAAGAAAGAAAATGTCTACCTTATCTGATTGAAAATGTAGATAATTGTATTGTTTTATTTGTTGCCTGAAACTATTTTCAGATGAACAAGAGAGTTTTGCAATTGCGCAAAAACTGGGATTTTTCGAGAATTCGTTTTTGTACATCATTTGTGTAATAATCCCGATCCTTTTTTTTTTATGGGGATAGCTTTTTGAAAACAGATTCTGATATTTGGTTGTGCACATTTTTTTGACCAAAACTTGATCTGGTTGGAAACAATGGATGACAAAGAAACTGGTGTTGATGCAAAAGAAGTAAATTTTAGAAAAAGGACAAGTGGAATAAGAGAAAAGTGAAAGAACGCGTAGGCTTATTTCTAGAGAGGGAGAGAGAATTTGCATAAAATTCTCGAGATAATTTTGCCAGGAGAATAGTTTCCAAGCCATATTTATAATCAAAATTTGGCTAGTGAAATTAAATTAAATCGATTTTTGTGGTCATTGGTGAATTTTGGTAATTATACCACGTTAAATATTTGAAAACGTAAATTTTTAACAATACTCAAATCCAAGATCCTAGTATTATTGGATATCATATTAATGAAACCTCGTATCTAAAAATTTGACAGATTCCTTTGTTCGCTAACTGTGCAATTATAATGAAATTTTGAGGATTCACTCGCTCTTCTAAAGGTTGTATACCAACTTCATTTTCAGGCAATAAATTGGGCCCAATAGTATAATTTTCTAATGAGATATAAAAATAAAAAATTGCACAATTAGTACTCAATTTATGGCCTAAGGAACAAGTTCTCCAAACTTCCAAAAATGAAGAATCTTAATCCTGAAAATGTTCAATAATTGCCATAAGAAAGAAGGCAAACTGACTTCACCCCCCATTTGTGTAGGATTTCACTAAGATTTTAAGCTTTATGAGGGCCATATTTTTGTTCTATCCAAGGTATCTAGCTCATGAATCATGCATAAAACAATTTATTTGAAGAGACTATTCCGATATGCTTTGGTTGGAGCCTTTACAATGGTTCATCAAATTTTGATGACGACGAAGCACATAGCGTGATGGATAAAATAGCATCGGAAAAAATTAAGAATCCCTCATTTGTGTAGGATTTCACTAAGATTTTAAGCTTTATGAGGGCCATATTTTTGTTCTATCCAAGGTATCTAGCTCATGAATCATGCATAAAACAATTTATTTGAAGAGACTATTCCGATATGCTTTGGTTAGAGCCTTTACAATGGTTCATCAAATTTTGATGACGACGAAGCACATAGCGTGATGGATAAAATAGCATCGGAAAAAATTAAGAACGAAGACATGCAACAAAATTTCATTCATCGTGTTCATCCTGATCAACTCACATTCTAAACATCCCCATAAAAGACATGATATGGCAATAAATCAGTTGTCTACTCGATTATTAATAGAACTTACTACTGCAGTATTACTTCAAGATCCATTGTGCAGTTCTGTGCAGTAATATAAAAGATAAGAACAGGGTATTTACCTTTTCCATAGACAATATACATACAACTCGAAATAACAAACAGATATTCATAGCTATTCTTTTGTACAGATTAGAATAGGATCTAATTGATAATGAAAGCAAGACATTCAAGTATCTTTGTGGTAGGGTCCCAGTTAGTATGGCATTTATTTCCAGCAGGTAACCTTAACTAGGTTCAGCAACTTTGTAGTGTACTATGTATCTAGATCTATTTTAGTTTTTATTTTGTGCGTTATGCTTCCATTCGCTGTGTGTACAAGTAAAACAATGCCATTTGTGCTTTTTTTCTCCCCTTTTCTTGTTCTTGCAGTTTACTTTTCCCCTGCCCACTCAATCATTCTTAGAAAGAGATTCCACTTAGATACCTTAGTCAAACGAGAATAATGGACATCGAGCTGAATATATTATCAGGCATGTAGATTAACAAGAAGATCCAACAACGGCATTAGCAGAAGAATGCAGAGGGTCAGTCACAAAAACAATTGACTTCACAACGTAAAGCAACTAATGTACTGGTGTATACATGTATGCCGAAGTATCCCTCAAGTATGTAATACAAGAGAATTTTTTACTCGTATTAATGCAGCCTTACCATGTGTCCTTAAATTTTGGACTTAATAGCCGCCAACAACAGGAAAAATCAGAAATACCACGAACGAGTGGTGCCAAATGCCATTAAACAGTTGCCTCATTGACATTTTTGCTTTTCCTTGACCTCTTGCGTTTTCTACTCCTGTTTCTCGTAGTGTTATCAACAACCTTTCTATCCTGCAATCAAATCGCCGTCGTCTCACTGGCAAATAAAAGCAATAAAAATACAGAACAATAAATGACTTCTGATCAGTTGTGTACCAGTAGAGGCCCCCATTCCCCTCTGACACCCATGTGCACATGCGAGCACCCCAAAAACAAGACAGTGGGGATATACAAAGATCCACATGAATCACTATTCAAAGTGCCATGTGAAGAACAAGCAATCTTACTTTTGCTAAGTTATTCAATTATACAGTTTATTGTCAACAAAACACAGTTTCAATCATTAGAGATGCACATTCTAAGATATGCAAAATAACAATCTTGTGGGGCTAGTCCAGGAGTCCATTCATAGCAGACTTGTTCTCCCACATGCGATAAGTAGGAGTTAAGTAAGCAGAGAGGGGGGTCATCCATCCACCAATCCACTTTACCTCCACCTATCCCACCCACAACCAGACAAATTAAAGATTAGCTTGTTTATCTTTGCCACTTTTTAGTCCAAACAAGCAGAGGCCAAGTCTAGTCTTCTAGTCTCAACAACTCTCTTGCTAGTTTGCAAGCATTAATATAAGAAGCTCGTCTACAGGGCATGCTGTTACCTTTTTGTAAATATTAAGATAACCACTTCAATTCATTATTTTATGCTGCCTATTTCCCAAAAAATAAGAAAAACTGGTCAAATACTCAATATGAAATTACATTTGAGTGAACCATTGACATCATATAACATTTTTTCTGATTTCTAATTGTCTACCTCTAAAAATACCTTTATCAGTGAGTGTACAAAAGAATCGAGTTATTCTAGGAAGGTAAAAGGAAGTCAGCCAGTAATTAAAAGATCACTATTTTTTGTGATGGACTTAGCAGTGGTTCTGTTTTGCAGGTCATAAGCTAGGTTGTTCTTTTTTAGAAGTTCAGTAAAACAAATCAGGTGCAGTTCTAGCAGTGGGAGAGCCTGAGAGTGGGCTGTGCATGGACATACCCATCTCAAACCTTGTTTTCTGATATGACACCCCAAATATCTAGACCAATAACTAGCATTCAGACCCTACAGTTTATTAAGAATCTAAGATGATATGAGGAAAACCCTAATCATGTCAATCAAGTTTCCTAACAACTAATGGAAATTCTTCTGAATTGCCTCATAAAATTTGGTTGATTATAAATATGTCCCATTTTCCAAGTAATAGCATAACTCTTGAGTACATCTTAAGTTTGCGGCAAATGTTCAAAGGCAGGATAAATATTTACTATAGAAAAACCCATTAACACTGACAAACCTTTACTGAAGAAGCATTTTTGTTCCCATCTGTCTTCTTCTTCTTGCATGATAGAGGGTTCGGACCCTGCAATGCACAAAAAGAGGAATAAAACCTGTGCTTGTGGAGACATCCTGCGGAGGTGTGTCATGTGTGTACAAGTACAACAATTACTACAATATGTTTTAGCGATTATACAACAACCAACTTGCATTGAGAAACTTAACACGCCCATTTACAAATAGCAGCAACAAAAGGGCTAATAAGGACTATGAACAACACAGATATGGACTTGGTATCAATGAGTATACCACTCCTCCTTTGTCCCCACGCCCCAGGAATTAAACGTTTTGGACACAGTTTAGGGAGGAAAATACAATATATTGAATCTTACCTTTGCTTTCTTTCGCTTGAACTGAACCTGATCCTTCACATTTGTTCTCTCTCTTTTAATGTTTGCCTTGACAACCTGCCTATCTAACATATGATACTCATTGCTTTCATTTGCATCAGAAGCATCCGCAGCTTCTTCAATTGCTGCTTTCTTCTTTTTCTTCAATATTTTATACTCCCACTCATTCATATGTGATCGGTCTTCTTCAGCAGCCTTGGCAAAATGGTGTTGAAATCCTGATGGTCGCTCAAGAAAGAGAGAATTTCTAAGAGCATATATTACAGGCACCCCAGGGATCTGCCACCGTAAGTTGTATAAAAATTAAGAGCAGTAGGGATGTATGTATGTCAATAAGTGTTACATCAATCTGAAAAGATCCCAAACTAGGGATACACCTTTTTAACTTAATGCACTTGAACACACACACACACTCTGGGAAACTAGATGTTTGAACAATTAAAATTGTCACAGTATTAAGCCTAATTGACATATTTGGAGGGAAAGGGCAGCAGAAACCTCTTGCAACTTCTTCCTTAACTCAGCATCCTGAGTTGCAACAAAGAAATGTTCAGTATTCTTTTGTCCAATAACTTCAGTTATGCATGCCACTGCACTCATTCTCTTGTCATGGTCACATCTGTAAAACAGATTCCACACATATAATAGATCAGCTCAACTACTAAAAACTGTGGGAGTAGGCTTCCTAACTTGCATAAATTTGTATACTGCTGTATTTTTTCGATAAAGACAATGAAAATAGACATATTTGCATAAATATATCCATCAACTATCATATTAATAACAGCAGACTGAGAGAGGAAAGAAAAGATGGCTGACCTTGCAGTTATAAGATTACTGGCGGCATTAAGGGATTCAGAATACGATTCACCAAGACTTTTCAACTCTGCAAGAACACATCTGTGACAAAAAGTTGAAAATGTATTAAGTGAACAAATTAAGAATTAGCTCCAAATAAGCTCAACCTTCTAAGTGCATAAGATAGGAAGCAAACAATCGAATATTTGAATAAACAGAGAAACATTGCTGGTGCAATTCTGAATTTCAAATAGTATTCAAGTGGTCAAGTTAAAATCCCATCTAACCTGGTAGTGAAGATTTTAACTGTGGCACCAAGGATATTAGCTAGAGCAGTATCAGCTGGAATGATGCCATTCGCCAAAAGATGGTATACAAAAGTTCCATCACAAAGAACTTTAAAGGGCTCTCTAAAACCGAAGCAAGCTGTGTAAAATCTCACAGCTCTGCGATGTCGCTTTTGCTTCTTCACCTTCATCTTTCTAATAACATAAAACGGACTGATTTTAATAGCACAAAACTAGAATTAAAGAGAGGTTGAAGAACAGACAATAATTCCATGTGTATATGAACTGTGCACAAACAGTTATTGTCTGCCAGAGTCATGAAGAATTACAAATGAAGGAAAAAAACATAGTAATATAGTCTAAATTGCTGATTTCATTAGAATAATCAATCAAGAAAAGGAAAAACAAACTATATTCATATTTTCCAGCCAAAAACAGTAGGATAAAGAGAAAAAATTACCAAATTATATTTAATTAAGTTTCAGCAGAAAATAGAAAATTAAAAATAAAATATTGAATTTTGGAACCCTAAGCTGTAGAAAGGGGTTAGTCGAAGTTGACGGCCCTGAGATTCATATGGACCGGGTCAGATTATATAAGGTCAGCCCAAACACGAGTTGGGTTTGTAAATAGTTCGGATTTTTTGTTAAGTTCCTTAGACAAAAAGCATACCTACTTGGCATCCAAGCAAGGCGCACCTGCTCTTCACAAAACGCGGCCTCCGAGTCAACCTCCACACATGCCTCTCTCTAGCCTAGCACGCATTCCCTATAGTCAAACCATACTTTTATATGTATAAATTATGTGACATGCACGTGGCAAAGAACATCACACATTGACCATCTCACCTCAATAATCAATTATGTTAATTAATTTGGGCCGACCTTATACTTCAGCCACAGTTTCAATGGCCATGACCCATCTTTGCCCATTTTCTTTCCTTTATATATATGCAAGCTCAAACTCAAGTTAAGTATTCTAATCTCTTCCAGTGAAACTTCATAATTGCGAGACTAACAATGACCGCTTTGCACATGCACTTCGAATCACATCTCGGATATTAGCATCATAATTTTATATTGGAAATCTCAATCCAGGATATTCTACTGTGCAACATCAAATTCAAGTCTTTCATTCCTAACATCCCCGGCATTAGTTTCAATCAGAACATCTCAAACATTAAGTTCATCCCTTTCATTCCTAACATCCTAGATCCTTTTTATCTCGAAAATTATTTTCATCCCTTTTATCTTGAACATTCCTTTCATTAATATTTTGCTCATCACAAGACAACACGGATTTATATTTAACGTATTTGTCCAGTTGTATTATTAAAACAAACTCAATACAAATAGAATAAAGGCAATTAGTAAAGCAGGAACTGAAGGGAATGTTTAAGCATAAATTGGCTAAATAATATTCCCCACCATCAAGCAACTCAATCCTCAGCCAGCAACTCAATCCCCAACTCAAGTGGCTCAACTTTCCTCAGCCAGAAACTCAGTCCCAACAACATAATCCCCAACACCAAGCAACTCACTGCCCAGTACACGCCCAACTCAATCCCCAGCAACTCATTTTCAAACAGTAAACCTCAATTTCAGAAGCCTTCAATTTCAGCTATCAACAAATATTTCAAGCAGTCAGAAGCTGGAAGCCATATTATATCAAACAATCAGACAAGAAAAATGGAATAAAAGCAACTACACATCAAGTTTTTTGAAGATTCAAAAAATCAGAAGGTTAGGGACTAGGATTTTACCTTTAGCAGTTTGGAAAAACAAAACCGCCGTGTGAACCAGGAGTCAGCAGGGAATCGGCCGGTGGCGCAGTGGCCAGTGGCGGTGACGGAGAGCAGGCCACAGGGCGGTGATGAAGAGCAGTTACCGGCAGACAAAGGGCGACTGGGCGAGGCCGACAGATTTTGAGCGAGGGGTTTGAAGAAGTGGAGTTCAAACTCTTTGGGTGAATGGTGAAGTGAGTGGATTGGATTTCAAATGTTTGGGCCTCTCTCCTTTGGGCCGTTTCTAAGAGAAACAAATTGGGCTTTTATCACAGTCCCAATCAATGCATTGTAGCTGATTATATGGGATTTCAAATCCAAATTGATGAACGCTCTGGATTAGTATTCTAAAATTCATATTCACTGCATATATCCCAGAATCTAGAACTGTTTTGAATTTTAACAGTGCGCAGCACTGCTGGATAGCAATTTTGTTTTCTGATTTTCATCATAAAGTGAGAATAAGAAGGCTGGGACCACGGCCCCGAGTAAAGTCGGTTTCCTAATTGTCAAGAAGCAGTCATCTTTCAGATTAGATTTTTTGTTAATATACAGCTGCATTTTATCAATTTGCACCAGTTTGAGTTAGTTTAATGCCCTTTTTTCGAGTAGTGTTCTATAAAATCACATTATCAATTGACGTTTGTTCATTTACGTGTTATAATTTGAAGCGATTGTCTAAAGTTCCATAATCATATAGGATATCACAAATTGTATACTCAATGGTGTCACAAATTGTATACTCGATAGTTCGGGTATAGTAAGACACATTTCGTGATGTGATCAAAATTATGTCGTTTACAATCAGTACATAAAGTTGGACGTTTTATGTTGATAAGATTGCATTTTTCTTATTAAGATTTATTTATATCCTATAATAAGAACAATAATATGTTTCGATGCATATTGAACAGGACCGCGTAGATGACTTATTTGTGACCATTCGAAATGAAACTCTACTAGATTATCAAAAAAGTCACATAAATCCTGAGCGCGTAATGTAGCTTTGATTCCTATTTCAAGTTTTTTGAGGTACCAAGAAGTGAAGTCTTAAATAGAAGATCGCTCTCAGTGCTTTGGGAATCGGGCTGAAACAATTAGAGATCAAATACTTACGATAGTGGAATTCATTAATCATTGAGACGAGACGATTGTAACTCTAAGGTATATTCCTGGGCAAATTGAACCTGAGCTCAGTAGTTTGAAGATGAGATCGTTGGACTTTAAAATGTGATTTGATCACAATGAATTTGACGTATAAAAAGGAAACTTAGAGGGTAATACATGTTGAAGAGCAAAAGGATCATTTTGTCATTTTCAACATATTGGCGACAAATGAGGATTGACTTGTCAGACAATAATAAGAGGATATTATTATTGGAACATAATACGCTTCTATAACTATCACTCGACTCGAGAGTGCAATCTAGATTTTTTGATAGAATAAGCAGGGATTAATAGATGTATCTCAATTGATCATTAGTTGACCCAATCAAAAACATCTACTGGAGCTTGGATCACATGAGCTCGGTTAAGTCCCTCTTTTAACTCCAATTAAAGGTATGTGACTTAATTGATCTACTACAATAAAGTCAAAAAAAAAATTTGTGCAATTTTCAAAACCCTAATTGAGCACTATAAATATGTCCCTTATGGGCATATACTCTACAAGATTTAGGGTTAGCCACATTTTATTTTTCCAAAAGAGAATACACCTAGAGGAGAAAAGGGGAGAAGATCTAAACAATGGAGCATTTGACTAGGCCATTATAAATATATCCCTTATGGGCGTATACTCTACAAGATTTAGGGTTAGCCACTTTTTATTTTTTTCGAAAGAGAATACACCTTGAGAAGAAAAAGGGAGAAGATCTAAATGATGGAGCATTTGACTAGGCCATTAAAAGCTCCTTCAGAGGTTATCATCTTCCATATCTATGTGTAAGGATTTTATAATCCAATGATCTTAAGTTTACCACAAATCCTTATTATCATGGTTTTAATCTTCAAAGGAAAATTAATTTCCTATTCTGATGATTAAATCCGTCAACCAACAAATAGTATTAGAGTCGAGGTAATTGTAAGCCTTGAGTAGGATTAAGATCTTTAAATCAAAGTATAAAATGCATTTTTTTAGTTGGGTGGTGTTAAGTTATTTAATTTGACATGTTTATGCTTTAAATGTTTAAAGTTATTGTTGATATATTTACAATCACTTTTGGCCTAGATTTTTCATTTTCCCCAGTATAATACATTTGTTGTTGTTATTTCTCTCTAAAAATGATGTATGCCATAGGACACAAGGTTCTTATATTTTTTTCCTTCATTTTTTACGCTTGTATATTGAAAAGAAGAGATGTTTTGTTGTTGGTTTTTGGTTGAACAAATGCAAATGGGAGAAGGAGGACAACAAAATGAACGAAAACCCAGAAAATACCTAGGCTAGGCAGCGCGCGGCGACAATCATAATTGGAGCAATGGTAGTTGCCATGGCCGCCGATCACGGCAGACAGCTGCTACCTTGTGAGGCAGCAGCGGCTGTTGAATGGCCGCCCACTGACGCTATGTGAAAATGGTGTTGTGTGTGTTTTCTTGCTAGGGTTTTGAAAACTAGGTTAATTTGGAATTTTTGGGCTTTTCTTTGAGACTTGGACCAATCTTGTTAGAAAATGGCCTTGTTGATTTTAAGAATTGAGCCTAAAAAATAAATTGACCCAATTTTGGACATTACATGGGATGGACTACAAGAAGATTGAAAAAATCTAGCTGCAATGAAGCCCAATGTAATACTTATATCCATTTTGTAATTTAAATTCTTAGGATGGGCCATTAGTGATTATTATTCATTTAATTATTGTTTTAATGCTTTATGGATGGATGAATGTTTAATATTTATCACATGTCATATAAATAAAATGGACACCACCCAGTGCAATAAAATCATATGCAATTGCATTTAAATATTTTTTTCAACACTCTAAATTAAATGGAGGTGATTAAAAAATGTTTTATTTAATAATTAGAATCATTATAATTTTTAATATTTGACGGATTAATTATTAATTGAAAACCCAACGGTTCAAAATAATAAGTGGGAGAGTGTTTATAGGCATGTACAAACTTACGACATCCTCCGTCATCCAATTTGTTATTAAAATACGTATATTTAGCATTGAATTATATCAGTCTCCCTATAGGAAAACTACGTTATTTTAGATTAACTAAAAGTGGATCTAGTAATAAAATTTTTTAAAATAAAATAATGGGGTGATCATCCTATGGATGACATCTTATATATTTTGAATATTTTAAAAATTATTGATGAAGGTTATTGCACTTATATATGAATTTTTTGGGAGACTTCCTATAGAAGATTCTAACAAAATTATTCATAGGCTAAAAAATAACCAATCCTCTTTTTTGTGACATGAGATGCCTAGTTCAATAAAACGAGTTGGGGGTCCTAACCATGCCAACAACCATATTAACCGTCTATAGAGGGCATGTTAAAAGTTGTAAGGGTTTAAGATCTTTGATTAAAAATATAGTTTTTGGTCTATATTTGCATACTCATATACATGCATCATACAAATATTATTGCTCATTTTTTAATATGTGAATCGTTAATTTAGCAGAAAATGTCGTTTAATCCATTATCAATGATACTTAACAAAAATCAATTTGCTGGAAAAAACTACATTGACTAGAAAAAGAATCTTAACATTGTTCTTACCGCTGAAAAATACAAATTTGTACTGACTGAAGTTTGTCCCGAAACCCCTAACGGTGACTCCACGGAATCTCAAAAGGCTGCATATTAAAATTGGTTTCATTCTGATGAAATGGCCCGTTGCTACATCTTGGCATCCATGTCAAATGTATTACAACAGAAATATCAGAATATGCAAACTGCTTTAGACATAATAAAAGGTCCTGAAAAGATGTTTGAACATCAAAGTCGACAAGCTGGCAAGCCTCCATTAGGGCAATTATGAACACGCGTACGAAATAGGTCACATCTATGTATTAACCATAATTGGTCACTTCAATGTTGTGGAGGTTTTAGAAGCTAACATTGATTCCGAACTGCAGATTGATTTGGTCTTGAGAATCTTCCTGAGATGTTCTCACAATTAATAGTTGACTACAATCTACACAAAATGTACATGTCTCTGACGGAATTAATGAAAGAACTCCAAAATACTAAGACTATTCTGAAAGCCAGAAGTAGAAGTACTTTGACTGTAACAGGACCCTCTAATTCTAAACCTTCTAGTCGCAAAGGAGGAAAGAAGATGAAGAAACCAAACAAAAAGGCTGGATAACAAGTCAAAGGGGAAGAAAACTAATGCGTGGGAAACTAAAGAGAAAGTGTTTTATTTGTGGATAAAAGGGTCATTGAAAGAGGAATTACCCAGATCACCTAGCTAAGGAGAAGTAGGGTAAAGGCATTGCCCTATTCATTGAGTTATGCTTATTAGTTGATTCTACTTATACCTGAATTATATATTCTGGAGTCATAATCATGTTTGCAATTCTTTGCAAGGGTTCCAAAAAATCAAGTACCTCAATGAAGGAGAGTACACTCTTAGAGTTGACACATGAGCAGTAGTATCTGCCAAAGCTATAGACATTTAATCTTAAATGAATGTTATTATGTTCCCGACCTTACACTGAATTTGGTTTTCGTTGTACTTTTATATCATAGTGAATTGCCCAAATGATCACTGAACTTTGCAAAAAAATTTCAACGGGTTACCAAACTTTAAAAATTACCTAAATGGTCACTGAACTTTGTAAAAGGTTTCTACAAGGTCACTGAATTGTTAAAATCACTCAAATGACCACTGAACTTTACAAAAGATTTTCACAAGATGTCTAAACTTTGCAAAAGATTTACCGGGGGTCACTGAACTAGGAAACCTATTGCAAAGTTTAGTGACCATTTGGGTGATTCTTAAAGTTCAGTGACCTTGTAGAAACTTTTTGTAAAGTTCAGTGACTATTTAAGCAATTTTTAAAGTTCAGTGACCTCTTAGAAACCTTTTGCAAAGTTCAGTGACCATTTGGACAATTCACTCTTTATATCATGTTGGTTATTTGATACTTTTTAGCCGTTCCACGGTAGTTATTAAGTTGAATAATTGAGTTATGTGTTTGGGTCATATGATTAATAGTC